TTATTCTGATATTTAATAAAATTTACTTGAACGACAGTGCTCTATAGCTCTATAACTCTTCGAACGACAATGAAAATTCTTCAGTGATATACGGATTTCTTTGAATCAACACGTTTCCGTACCATAAAGATATGAAATGGAGAAAAATGTGTTTCAGCTTTATTCAGAGACTGTATATTAGAATACACGTGTTTCTTTATAATAATTGTTACAATGCGTCGTTATTACTCCTATTAAAAATAGCATTGTTACCTTGGACATGTCTGTTCTGAAACGTATGTACGAGATACCAAAATATGATTGTTGTAAGTGTTCAAAATACAGGTGATCTCACGATCAGTTTTTTACCTACTTAAAACGTAAGCCTTAAATTATTATTGACAAGTACATTCGTAATTTAGTGTATGGATTTCATGAAGCTTAACGGTTAAGTTTAATCTTAACGATACTAAAATAAATTCTGTAATAAAAATACGGTCGTCACATTTTCTCAATCGTTCGAATAATTATAAACGTGGTGAATCAACGTGGTCTCACGGGAGGCCCGTTTTAAAAAAATAATCACATCGCGTCTTGTGCTTCTCAAACGAAAATGGAACTCTACGGGCCGAGCAAATTAGACATATCGGAAGCTGTGCATTTCCTTCGAGGTAGGTTCTCCGTCATGTTTCTTTTCTCTCTCTCTCTCTCTCTCTCTCTCTCTCTCTCGTTCAATGTTATCCTGATTGAGCATCTAAAAAGGGACAGATTTTGTAGGCGGGCAAGAATCAAGCAACGAGAAGCATCTTCTCCTCTTGAATCGCTCGTTCTGCTAGGATTTCCCCGACTTCGACGCGATCCTGTCCGTTTTGTCGAGCATATAGGACGGCAGGGTGCTCGTAGAGAAGTGATTTACACACCATCGAGAAACAGAGGATATTGATAGAACAATCAAATCTCCATGACCGTCTGCACGGAGTTGATATCGAGTGCACAGCTGCCGGTTGTGTCGGGAGAATCCTCGAGGTATTCTTCTGATGGTGTCATCCCGGCCGTTCTCATGTCGTCCCTCACTTTTTCCACCTAAAACGGATTAACATCGTGTACCTTTTTTCTTAACACGTTCCGTGCCAAGCCATTTTTGCCTTTTGTTGTCGTTCAGG